TGGTTTTATAACTTTTAACTGTATTCATGTTTTTTAGTATGTTGTAAGCCGCCCAGAATCCCCCATTGTGGGGAGATGGGCGGGGACAAATTAAATCAATCAATCAATCAATCAATCAATAAAATACTAGCTCAAACTCTGACACAGGAATATCCATAGCTGAACATCCTGGCCATCAGGTCTGTAGGTACACATGGATAAAATGTGAAGGTGGTTTCTAAATTAAATTCAGATTGGGTTAAATGTGGGCCTTATCAATTAAATGTAATGAATTTAACAGTGTTTGCCATCACTTATGTAAATAGAAACAGATGGTTGATTTCCTATTGCAGAACTTTATGTAGCATTCATGAATTTATACCATGGTGCTGGTGCTTATGCTAATTTTTCTTCAGTAAAGTTTTGGATCTGAATTATAGCAGGTCTGAATTAGCAAAAAGTTGCTCATAACTAGATGTTCCATCATCCAGATGTACATATGGGGTTGGAGGGTATCCCAGAGGCAATGGTGTACCATTTCTGGATTGTTGCCGGCAAAACTATGTGGATGTGCCCATATAATCACTGGCAGCTGACCTTGTCTCAAAAAGGAACTTTATTTTATACTGAATATTATAAAATGATTGTGTTCAGTCAGAGAACCCATGAGTTTGTCAAGCATAATATAATCTAACTTCCAGACTTTTCAAGTCTTTTTTGTCTTTATTTTGGCATTTGTATTCCTTAATTAAAATACAACTTTGTAATGACACGTGCCAATCATTTTAATGTAGCTATCAGCTAAACATAAAAGGTCTAAGATAAATTACCCTCCCCACCTTGTAGTTGGATTTTTCCCCCAACAGCCTCTAGTATCTTCTTTAGGGATGATGATGATGATGATGATGGCTGGTTGCACAGTCAACCAGATGTTTAGACTGGATTTGGCATTTTTATCCACTCATCGAGTCCTTCCCAAGGACCTGAGATAGGCAGATGTTGTTGTTGGATGGTGTTAAAGGTATCATCGCAGGATATGAGCTGTTCCAAGTAAAGCTGCCTTTTGCAGTTGATTGATGGTGATTTTGTCTATTATTCTTATTATTATTATATACACAACAACGTGAAATCACAGCTGCCAGTTCTTTCACTGGTGTTGGCCTTCATTCACATTGAGTTCTTCCCAAGAACCTAGGATGTTGTAATGTATTGGCGTAGTATATATGCAGTTCCAAGCAGTGTGGCCTTTTGTAATTGACAGATGGAAATTTTGTCAATGTGCAGGTTTTCTAAGTGCTGTCCAAAGTTTTTTGGTATGGCACCCAGTGTGCCAATAACCACTGGGACCACCACTGCCAGTTTATGCCATAATCTTTCAAATTCAGTTTTCAGATCTTGATACTTTATGATCGTATCCAATTCTTTGTCTTCTATTCTACTGTCTCCTGGTGTTGCCACATCAATCATCCACACTTTCTTCTTTTCAACCACAGTTAAATCTGATGGGTTATACGCCAAAACTTTATCAGTTTGTGTTCAGAAATCCTACAATATTTTAACCTGCTCATTTTTGACTACTTTTTCAACTATATGTTCCCACCAATTTTTTTTACTATTATGGTTGGTCGCACAATCAGCCAGATGTTTAGACTGGATTTGGTATTTCTATCCACCTATCGAGTCCTTCCCAAGGACCTGGGATAGGCAGATGTTGCTGGTTGATGGTGCTAAAGGTATTGTGGCAGGATATAAGCTGTACCAAGTAAAGCTGCCTTTTGCAATTGACTGATGGTGATTTTGTCAATGCTGATTGATGGTCTTTAAGTGGTGCTCCAGATGTTTTGGGGTTGCACCTAAATTATCTCTTAGTACTGATATTATCTTTGCTCTCCTTTGCCACAGTTGCTCTACTTCTATTTGTAGGTCTTTATGTTTTGTAATTTTCTCCAGTTCTTTCTCTTCTCTTCTGCTGTCTCCAGGTATTGCAGTGTCCGCTACCCAGACTTTATTGTCTTTCTTATCAACAATTGTTAAGTCTGGGGTGTTGTGTGGCAGGTGCTTGTTATTATTATTAGTAGTATTAGTATTAGTATTATGTATTTTTGTTTCATTATATAATGTTGTTTTTAACCTTTTACTTCAGAAGGTTGTCTTTCTTATCAACAATTGTTAAGTCTGGGGTGTTGTGTGGCAGGTGCTTGTTATTATTATTAGTAGTATTAGTATTAGTATTATGTATTTTTGTTTCATTATATAATGTTGTTTTTAACCTTTTACTTCAGAAGGGAAGTCCTACTGGATTAGAGCAGTATGTAAGCCACAGTAAATAAAATCAAATACGTAACAAAACAAAAATATTAAAAGCAATAAATACAAGTAGAATCAAATTAAGCATAGTGTGCTTCAGGCTTAAAATACTTTTTAAAAAGCCAGAGAATAGTAAGATACCTGCTTAAAAGATGAAGGTGAATTCCCCTGGAAAGAGCACTCTGC